TTTTATTGCAGTTTCGTTCCTCCGTAATTTCAAATGGAGCGCAGATAAGTTCAAGGGAGGAGAATTAGCGTATTGCTTACATAAAATATCTTCGTCTATTTGTGGGAAGGGGGCTACTACAATAAAAAAAAATAAAAATTTTGCTAAGTGTACCGTGATATTTTCACTTGCTCCTAGGTGTTCCTTTGCTTAAAAACGTTGAGAAACATCGTCTTATACTTAAATCAGGAGTGTGCATCATCCTTCCGAGATCACATGTTCTTAGCTTTGTGTGGATCCCATTCAAAAGGCCTTTAATTTTCATTAAGCCAAGATAACCATTTGTATGTGATTTGTTTATAAAAAAAAAAATAAAGACGTCTCAAAAGGTTTTCATTCTTCGATCGAGTTCGGACTAGTGAGGAGCGATAACCGGTTGGCTCATTCTGTTCTTCCCTTTTTATGATTTTGATTCTAATTTCGTATTGCCAGCTAACTAGTTGGTTTTCCCCTATTTGTCACTTTAAACTATTCCCTTTTTTTTTTGTTTTTTTTTTTGTTTTTGCTATAATTGAAAACAGAGATAAATAGAAAAATTAGCGGCAGGGTTTCGTCATTTTAAGTCGAAATGGTTTAGATTTAAGCGTTCAGTTTATTTTCTCACACTTCTCGCTTTTGGAAACATCTTCCAACTTATTGCTTTCCAATCAAATTTGACCTTCGAAAATTGAGATGCAATGTCAATTGTTATCTTCAGTCATCTTACTCCCTGATCTTTTATTGTCCTCGCTCTTTAATAACGTTTTTCTTTTGCTTATATTTTTTCACACTATGCAACTTCTTGCGTCTTAGCGGCTTTATTGCCTTCCTTAGGGTGAAAGGATTAAAAAAAAACATACACACACAAATTGAGTGGTTATTAGGAATAAATATAGATGTAAAAATATCTTATTGATACATGTATTTTATTTCCTATTTTTCACTGTTTAGTCAGTGTGCACAAAAGATTTACTTTTCTCGGTCGAGTTCTGGCGAGTTTCGAGCGATAATCGGTTAGTTTATTCTTTTGTTCTATTTTATGTATTTGTTTCTATAATTTATTGCCAGCTACCGTAGTTGCTTTTCCATTTTTGTCTCTTAATTATATCCGTTTGTATTGCTTTAATTAATTCATTTTTTTCAATAACTTTTATTATATTTCCGATGTTTCGTTTGACAATGCCTAGTTCTCTTGCATTTGGCTTTTTTCTTTCATTCAATGTCGTTTTTGATTTTCTGTTTATTTTCTAAGTTGGCGGCTTTTGTTTAACGAGAATAACAACCTAAATATGAAAGTTCAAACTTCATAATTAATCCAAGAGAATGACATTATTTCATGATTAAATTATTATTACTTTGCTCCATTTTTTCTACAAATTTTACGGTAAAATATATTGGTTTTTATTTTGATATTAAAATATATTGTTGACCATTTTGATATTAAAATGTATCTTTGGACATTTTACTATAAAATGTATTGCTGGTCATTCTGCATTAAAATGTATTAGTAATTTTACTATAAAAATACATTGTTGATAATTTTACTATAAAAATCTGTTTATACTTATATGTAAAAGACAGCCTAATGAACATGGCTCAGGCATAGAGACTATATAAGTACTCAAGCAGTAAGTGTAGAGCAGCTCTTAATATGCAAATATTCATTCCGGATTGTTTTTTTAAATTATTGTTTTATTCTCCTTCCCCACCACACAGACAATAAATTGTACATATAGGGTTTAGTTAGGATTTTCATAGAGACTATGTGGTATTAGGGTGGATGTAGTAAGAAAGGTAAGAATGTATTGTTTTGGTGTTAGGAATATTGTGCTATGTTTGGGTTAGTGTTTTTGGTTAGCTAAGTTTAAAGTTAAGGCAGAATACCGTCCTTTTCTCCATTTTCGGCCTTGTGCCACATTTTCTGTATTTAAGCAGAAATAAATATGACTCTTCGCTATGGTACCTAGAGTTTTTGAATTGCATGACAGAAGGATTTCTTTGGTAACAAAGAAAAGAATACTGAGCTGTTACGTGACATCTGTCTTTTTTTACGGCAGCGAATGTTGGATGATTACCTTGAAGATGAAGAAGAGACTCGAGGCGAGTGATATGTTGTTCTACAGAAGGATGCTAAGGATATCATGGACCGAGCGTGTGAGCAACGATGAGGTCTTAGAGAGGATGCAAACAAGGAGGAGGTTTATACTTAACATCAGGAGGAGGCAGCTGAAATTTCTGGGGCACATAGAGGAAGAAAGGCCCGGAGAATTTGATACTTACGAGTCGAATAGAGGGAAAGAGAGACTAGGGAATACAACGCATACCTAACGGGCTTAAGCCAATGGATGACAAAACGTGGTCTGGGTAGGGGTAGCAGAGGGAAGGAACATGTTGAGAGCAACAAGGGATAAAGAAGAGGTGGAGCCATGATCGCCTACGTCATGAAAGGACATGGCACATGAAAAGAAAGACGAAACTGGCGACGAGGTCACCGTAGATGTAACCGTAAATTCTATGCTAACAGTTTATTAAAGAAATAATTTAAGAGAAAAGCATTATAAAGTTAAGACAGAAGACCGTCCTTTTCCCCATTTTTGGCCCCTTGCCACATTTTCTGTATTTAAGCGGAAATCAATATCGCTCTTCGTTATGGTACCTAGAGTTTTTGAATTGCGAGACAGAAGGATTTCTTTGGTAACAAAGAAAAGAATACTGAACTGTTACGTGACATCTGTCCTTCTTTACGGCAGCGAATGTTGGACGATTACCTCAAAGATGAAGAAGAGACTCGAGGCGACGGAGATGTGGTTCTACAGAAGGATGCTAAGGATATCATGAACCCAGAGTTTATTTGGTTCCTTGTAAATAGTTCTGTTTTCATAATGTAATTATTCATTGAGGCTAGTTTTTAAATTATTGTTTTATTCCCCTCCCCCTCACAGACAATGAATTGTACATATGGGGTTTAGTTAGGATTTTCATAGAGACAATGAGGTATTATGGTGAATGTAGTAAAAAATGGTAAGTAAGAATGCGTAGTTTTGGTGTAAGGGATATTGATGTATGTTTGGGTCAATGTTTTTGGTTAGCTAAGTTTAAAGTTAATACAGAAGACCGTCCTTTTCTCCTTTCCCCATTTTTGGCCTTGTGCCACATTTTCTGTATTGAAACGGAAATAAATACCGCCGTTAGTATGCGAGAGATATTAATCTAAATTACGGTTGTTTATTTTCCTTAGTTTCTTCCTTCAAGTTAATTTAGCTAGGGGATGTTTGCTTATTGGCAGCTTTTATTTCTATTTTTATTCCCCCTCCCTAGGTACAGTACTAGCAGTTTACATAAAAGCGAACAGCGATTGGTTGGTCGGTTGCTTTTGTTTAGCGGGCATATCAAGACGTATGGGTTATTTAATGCCAAACTCTAAATACGAAAGTTCAAACTTTATAATTATTTCATGAGACTGACGTTATTTCATGATTAAATTAGCTGCATTTTTTTTTACCAAATAATCTTACAAAATCAGTCGATGTTGAAATGTTGTCTTTGTTTAAAGTAGCCGAGAATTAGGAAGGTCCTAGTTAGAGAGAGTATCAAAGGAACAGAAGACTAGGTAGGGAAAACACAAAGTGGTTTATTAAATACTTACACACAGAACCGAAAAAAAACTTGAGTAAATCGATTACTCCTCAAATCCTACTCTAATGTGGCTACTTGCCATATTTATAAGTAGGAAGAGTCCATTGTAACAGTATTAGGGAAGAGCAGGAAGTATACTGGTGGTTGTTTTAGTTCAGTGGCATATCAACCTGTATGGATTATTTAATGCTGAACTCTAAATATGAAAATTCAAACTTTATAATTACTTCAAGAGACTGATGTTATTTCATGATTAAATTAGCTGCATTTTTTATCAAATAATCTTACAAAATCAAACCAGGAGTGAAAAATTGTTTCTTCTTACAAGAAATTATATTAATCAGAACAAATTGTCTTGTTTTTTTTTTCATTTTTGACAATGTATGCCATAACTTCAATTTTTCCTATAATGTGTGTTGATTGTCAACTTGCAATAAAATGGTTTGTTGGTCATTTTATTATAAAATATATTTTGAAATTCTACTATAAATGCATTGTTAGTTATTTTGTAATAAAATATATTATTGGTAATTTTACTATAAAACTTATTGTTAGCAATTTCACCATAATATGTATTTTGTTTTTTGTTTTTTTTTTTAATTAAAAATGTATTGCTGGTATTTTTACTATAAAAATGTATTTTTATATTTTTTCGTGCTGTGATTTTTGTTTGGAGTATCGCTATTTACCCATAGCTGGGACCCTAACAGGTCAGGGTGGACCTGGAAACAATAGCAATTAAGAGGTGGTTCTATGCTCCTAAAAACCTTCAATTTCTTAATCAGAGGCCATGCAACCAGATGTAGTTTATCGTCATACTCAGGAATAAATGAGGGCAAGACTTCTGTTGTAACATAAAAGGGTTACTGAATAACCAAAACGAAGGTTGAAAATGAAATGGTAATCTTTATAACTATAACCAAAAACAATACTCGCCAGCGGCGTCAAGTAGGTAAACCACTGCTAGTGGTTGACTACTTAGACAGGATATTACGATATTTACCTGCCTCCCCACGAGATAGAATGCGGCACAAGGCCAAATTAAATGTAGGGGAGATCCGAACCAGTGGGCTCGCGTAAAATTTGCCCGTAGATCCTGCATACGCGGGATCGGGTATCTGTCTACCCGAACGAGGCTATGCCGAAGGGCAGAGTCTCGTCCGGGTTCCTGTCTGCCATCAGGCAGAGAGTTTGACACAGCATGATTTTCCCACGCTGTCAGCTCACGCTGCCAGTGTAGACAACAGATTACCCCCACTTACAATAGTGTCCAACATATTTATGAGGATTCGGACATACCCATTAGTGTTCATAAATACGATATATAACAATTTCACAATTACTCCTCACTTTGTTTCACGTTGCGGTTCTTCAATCCCAGAATTCTTTGCCGGCGTTTTTAATGTCTTCGCAAGTTGACTAAAGGACATTGAATTGGAGGTTGTTGCTGCAAGCTTAGAGATGTCGTCTTTGTATTTAGTCTGGCAATGATAATAATACTGTCCAGGTTACTATCAATGTTGCTATCACGGTTACTATCAATGTTACAACTACTTTTACTATCAGTGCTACTATCAATGTTACTATTAGTTTTACTATCAGTGGTACTATCAATGTTACTATCAGTGTTACTATCAATGTTACTATTAATTTTATTATCAGTTTTATTATCAATGTTACTATTAGTGTTACTATCAATGTTACTATTAATTTTACTATTAATTATACTATCAGTGTCTATATCAATGTTACTATCAATGTTACTATTAATTATACTATCAGTGTCTATATCAATGTTAGTATCAGTGTTACTATCAATGTTACTATCAATTATACTATCAGTGTTACTATCAATGTTACTATCAGTGTTACTATCAATGTTACTATTAATTTTATTATCAGTCTTATTATCAATATTACTACCAGTGTTACTATCAGTGCTACAATTAATTTTACTATTAGTGTTACTATCAATGTTACTATTAATTATACTATCAGTGTCTATATCAATGTTACTATCAGTGTTACTATTAATGTTATTGAATTTCCTAGATATATTTTGGGTTCAGATTTCTTTATAATCCGGCAAAAATTTAAATGTAATGTCAATCGCTATTTATTGTCCTCCTGTTTACTATTTCTGCTTATTAATAATGTTTCTGTTCCTAATTCTTCCACACCCTATAACCCCATGTGTCTTAGTGGCTTTACTGCCTTGCATGAGAAGAGCAAACTTTACAAAAGTAAAGCGATTATTGGAGAATGGCATCAAGGTCATAGACATTTTGGAAGAATCAGAACTGGTCACATCTATATCAGTAACCCATTTCTTCAAAAAAAATAAGATTCCACTGAAAGCACAGCACGTCAGGAGGCATATGCTGTAAAACTGGGGTCAACATTCCCAGGTCTACGGACACATCTGACCCACGAAGATCTTTGTTTGTCTATAGAGGAAAATTAACAAACATGGTTTTCGAATAAAAAGTTTTATTTTTATCCCAGCAACTTCGGCACTTTTACAATGTTTTCGAAAATCCTAATATGAGCGAGCATCCGTGGATTGAGCTAATATATATATATATATATAAGTATATATATATATATACAAAGAAGAAGAAGAAAAAGAAGAAGAAGAAGAAGAAGAAGAAGAAAGAAAGAAAGATAGGGAGTGATGAACAAACGAAAAGAAGAAGAAGAAGAAGAAGAAGAAGAAGAGGGAGTTATTAAATCCTTCGAAAGATATGCTACACAGACTTCAAAGGAACTATTAACTCATAGATTCCAAACAAGTGGCAAGAGTTATGGAACTACTACTCAAGGAGCACACTTTACAAAAGTAAAGCGATTATTGAAGAATGGCATCAATGTCTTAGGCATTTTGGAAGAATCAGAACTGGTCACATCTATATCAGTAACCCATTTCTTCAGAAAAATAAGATCGCACTGAAAGCACAGCACGTCAGGAGGCATATGCTGTAAAACTGGGGTCAATATTCCCGTGTCTACGGACACATCCGGCCCACGAAAATCTTTGTTTGTCTCTAGAGGAAAATTAACAAACATGGTTTTCGAATAAAAAGTTTTATTTTTATCCCAGCAACTTCGGCACTTTACAATGTTTTCGAAAATCCTAATATGAGCGAGCAACCGTGGATTGAGCTAATATATATATATATATATATATATATATATATATATATATATATTTTTCTTTTTCAAACTGATTGGTATGTATTATTACCTCCCAAGACAAAGTACATTCTTCCCCTAACATTTCGCAAACCTCCTGGCGAGACTTCAACCACCTCCATCAAGGATGATCAAGATTTGCTTACGTAAGTATATTCTTATGTGATGGCCTTTCAGGCAACGAGGAAAATCACAACATAGAAGGGGGAGGTTGAACAGTTTTAAAAAGCCTCGACCGGAGGTAGATGAAGCCCCTGCGAAGGCGTCGAGATGTAAAAGCAGTTGGGAAGTAGAAGCATGCTAAAAAAAACCGAGTTGGAGGAAGAGTAAAAATAAAGGCGGGGGATTATGAAGAAGAAGAAGATGAAGAAGATAGGGAGTATTTTTGGAAAAAAATACCGGGAGTGATGAAAAACGGGAAGGAAGAAGAAAAAAAAGAAGAAGAAGGGGGGATTGATGAACAAACGAAAAGAAGAAGAAGAAGAAGAAGAAGAGAAGAAGAAGAAGAAATAGTTTGGAATCCTTTGGAAAAAGAAAACGAAGAAAATAGGGAGTGATGAACAAACCATTTGATAGAAGAAGAAGAAGATTGATGAACAAACGAAAAGAAGAAGAAGAAAGAAAGATAGGGTGTGATTATTAAATCCTTCGAAGAAGAAAACGAAGAAAATAGGGGTGATGAACAAACGAGAAAAAGAAGAAGAAGAAACGAAAAGAAGAAGAAGAAGAAGAAAAGAAGATGTGATTATTAAATCCTTCGGAAGAAGAAAAAGAAAAAATAGGGGTGATGAACAAACGAGAAGAAGAAGAAGAAAAAGAAGAAGAAAGAAGAAAGATAGGGTGAAGAAATCCTTCGGAAGAAGAAAAGAAAAAAAATAGAAACAAAACGAGAAGAAGAAGAAGAAAAGAAAAGAAGAAGAAAGGGAGGGAGTGATTATTAAATCCTTTGGAAGAAGAAAACGAAGAAAATAGGGAGTGATGAACAAACCATTTGATAGAAGAAGAAGAAGATAGGGAGTGATGAACAAACGAAAAGAAGAAGAAGAAGAAGAAAGATAGGGTGTGATTATTAAATCCTTCGGAAGAAGAAAACGAAAAAAATAGGGGGTGATGAACAAACGAGAAAAAGAAGAAGAAGAAGAAGAAGAAGAAAAGAAGAAGAAGAAGAAGAAGAAGAAGAAAGATAGGGTGTGATTATTAAATCCTTCGGAAGAAAAAACGAAGAAGAAGAAAAAGAAGAAGAAGAAAATAAGAAGGGAAGAAGAAAGATACAAAATCCTTCGGAAGAAAAAACGAAAAAAAATAGGGTGATGAACAAACGAGAAAAGAAGAAGAAGAAGAAGAAGAAGAAGAAGAAAGGATAGATTATTAAATCGTTTGGAAGAAGAAAACGAAGAAAATAGGGAGTGATGAACAAACCATTTGATAGATGAAGAAGAAGATAGGGAGTGATGAACAAACGAAAAGAAGAAGAAGAAGAAGAAAGATAGGGTGTGATTATTAAATCCTTCGGAAGAAGAAAACGAAAAAAAATAGGGGTGATGAACAAACGAGAAAAAAAGAAAAGAAGAAGAAGAAAAAAAAGATAGGGTGTGATTATTAAATCCTTCGGAAGAAGAAAACGAAGAAAATAGGGGGTGATGAACAAACGAGAAGAAGAAGAAGAAGAAGAAGAAGAAGAAGAAGAAGAAGAAAGATAGGGTGTGATTATTAAATCCTTCGGAAGAAGAAAAAGAAAAAAATAGGGGGTGATGAACAAACGAGAAAAAAGAAGAAGAAGAAAGAAGAATTATTAAATCCTTTGGAAGAAGAAAACGAAGAAAATGATGATGAACAAACGAGAAAAAGAAGAAGAAGAAAGAAGAAAGATAGGGTGTGATTAAGAACCTTCGAAGAAGAAAAAGAAAAAAATAGGGGTGATGAACAAACGAGAAAAAAGAAGAAGAAGAAGAAGAAGAAGAAGAAAGAAAGATAGGGAGTGATTATTAAATCCTTTGGAAGAAGAAAACGAAAAAAAATAGGGAGTGATGAACAAACCATTTGATAGAAGAAGAAGAAGAAAAAGAAGAAACAAACGAAAGAAGAAGAAGAAGAAGAAAGATAGGGTGTGATTATTAAATCCTTCGGAAGAAGAAAACGAAAAAAATAGGGGGTGATGAACAAACGAGAAGAAGAAGAAGAAGAAGAAGAAGAAGAAGAAGAAGAAGAAGAAAGATAGGGTGTGATTATTAAATCCTTCGGAAGAAGAAAACGAAGAAAATAGGGGGTGATGAACAAACGAGAAAAAAGAAAGAAGAAGAAGAAGAAAAGATAGAATTATTAAATCCTTCGAAGAAGAAAACGAAAAAAAATAGAATGAACAAACGAGAAAAAAGGAAGAAGAAGATAGGGAGTGATGAACAAACGAGAAGAAGAAGAAGAAGAAGAAGAAGAAGAAGAAGAAAGAAGAAGAAAGATAGGGTGTGATTATTAAAAAGAAGAAAACGAAGAAAATAGGGGGTGATGAACAAACGAGAAAAAGAAGAAGAAGAAGAAGAAGAAGAAGAAGAAGAAGAAGAAGAAGAAGAAGAAAGATAGGGTGTGATTATTAAATCCTTCGGAAGAAGAAAACGAAGAAAATAGGGGGTGATGAACAAACGAGAAAAAGAAGAAGAAGATGATAGGGAGTGATGAACAAACGAGAAGAAGAAGAAGAAGAAGAAGAAGAAGAAGAAGAAGATAGGGAGTGATGAACAAACGAGAAGAAGAAGAAGAAGAAGAAGAAGAAGAAGAAGAAAGATAGGGAGTGATTATTAAATCCTTTGGAAGATGAAAACGAAGAAAATAGGGAGTGATGAACAAACCAGTTGAAAGAAGAAGAAGAAGATAGGGAGTGATGAACAAACGAGAAGAAGAAGAAGAAGAAGAAGAAGAAGAAGAAGAAGAAGAAGAAGGAGAAGGAGAAGAAGGAGAAGGAGAAGAAGAAGAAAGATAGATGAAAACGAAGAAAATAGGGGGTGATGAACAAACGAGAAGAAGAAGAAGAAGAAGAAGAAGAAGGAGAAGGAGAAGAAGAAGAAAGATAAAGAGTGATTATTAAATCCTTTGGAAGAAGAAAACGAAGAAAATAGGGGGTGATGAACAAACTTTTTGGAAGAAGAAGAAGAAGAAGAAGTGATGAACAAACGAAAAGAAGAAGAAGAAGAAGAAGAAGAAGAAGAAGAAAGATAGGGAGTGTTTATTAAATCCTTCGAAAGATACGCTATACAGACTTCAAAGGAACTATTAACTCATAGATTGTAAACAAGTGGCAAGAGTTATGGAACTACTACTCAAAGAGCAAACTTTACAAAAGTAAAGCGATTATTGGAGAATGGCATCAAGGTCTTAGACATTTTGGAAGAATCAGAACTGGTCACATCTATATCAGTAACCCATTTCTTCAGAAAAATAAGATCGCACTGAAAGCACAGCACGTCAGGAGGCATATGCTGTAAAACTGGGGTCAATATTCCCGTGTCTACGGACACATCCGGCCCACGAAAATCTTTGTTTGTCTATAGAGGAAAATTAACAAACATGGTTTTCGAATAAAAAGTTTTATTTTTATCCCAGCAACTTCGGCACTTTACAATGTTTTCGAAAATCCTAATATGAGCGAGCATCCGTGGATTGAATATATATATATATATATATATATATATATATATATATATATATATATATATATATATATATATATATACATAGAAGAAGAAGAAGAAGAAGAAGAAGAAGAAGAAGAAGAAGAAAAAGAAAAAGAAGAAAATGTTATATCAGTAAAAAGAAGGAATAGAAAATAAAAAAAAAGGGAGGAAGAAGAAGCCATTTTAATTGTGTCGAATCCAGTAATTCAAATACATTTTTTTAATTAATTTCTTTATTTATGGCCAACCCTTGAATCCCCGCTTGCAAACAAAATAAAGAGGAACAGTTTGAAAATAACATATATACGAAATTTCGATCTATATTGCTTCAGAAAATTGTTTCTTTTTAATTTCTGTTCGGTATTAGTCACTGATATGCAACTAAAAAAAGAAAATGGCGTATTTCTTTTTTTTTCTTTATTGATTTCAGATTTCAAACATCAAAGAAAAACAAATTTTCATTGCTGTCACCTTTTTCCGAACGCCGAGGATTTACAGAAATATTCTAAAACCGTCCACGAAGATATTCTAAAAGAAAATTTAATGATTGTTTGATTTGTGGTACGTGTGTCCATTCAACTACTCCACCGTAACAATATACCCGAAGGGATTTTTCTGGCTTTATTAGGAGCGTTTATTCTTCATTGACAACATTCAGAAAGATCCTTTTTGACTGTCAAATTTAGCGTATTCTTTTTTTTGAAAATGTAAAAATATAAGCAACATTTTATTTCAATACATTTTATATTTTTAAACGATTAACATTTGGATTATTGTCCTCATCATAGCTGTTATTATCAGAGCATTACGACCATTGTTCTCTGAGACTTTGTTAAATAGCAGCGCAGTCAATGCAGTTGCATGACAACAGCAGTAGAGTCAGCAACAAGCGGACAAGAACATTAGGATTAAGATTCCAAATACTAAACTCAGGATTGTCCCACGGGACAATAACCTAACGTTATTAAAGCGTTTGTTCGTGAATTTGATAGTAATTGTGAGTACAATCTCTGGTCTGTTTTGTACACACTTAGGCCGTGAAAACAGAATAGAGCAAAATAAGAAAAGGCGACATATTCCAATGGACAGGGAAATGAGTATCATATATATTTCCATCGATTAAATAAAGACTTAACTTCAAATTTCTCTGAAGGTTACCTGGATTGACAAGTCGAAATATTTATATTTTCTCTCTAATTTTCTGGGTGAGAAGTTATCGTTATTTACACTATATTCGGACTATTGCCCTCATCTTTGTTGTTATTATCACGTTTTTGGCCGTTGTGATCCCCGACCTTCCTCAGGTGTATATCGATCTGGGTAACCTACAGTGAATTCGTTTCTGGAATGAGGAATTATCATTATTTACACTATTTATATTCAGACTATTGCCCTCGTCTTTTTGTTTTTATCACAACATTTTTGCTGTTGAACCTTCCAGCTTGCCTCAGGGGTATATCAATCTAGGTAGCCTACAGGGAATTAATTTTGGAATTAGGATTTATCATTATTTAGTCTATTTATATTCGGATTATTGTCCTCATCTTTGTGTTGTTATCACAGCATTTCGGCCGTTGTGCCCTCCGGCCTTCCTCAGGTGTATATCGAGCTGGGTAACCTACATGGAATCACTTTCTGGAATGAGGAGTTATCATTATTGACACTGTTTATATTCGGACTATTGTCCTCATCTTTGTTGTTGTTATCACAATGCTTCGGTCGTTGTGTCCTCCGGCCTTCCTCAAGTGTATATCGATATGAATAACCTACAGGGAATTAATTACTGAGTTATCATTATTTACACTATGTATATTCGGACTATTGTCCTCATCTTTATTGTCGTTATCACAACGTTTTGGCCGTTTTGAACTCCGGCCTTCCTCAGGTGTATACCGATCTGGGTAACCTATTCTGAACTGAACCATTTATCAAATCTACAGGGGTAGATTCTTTTCGTTCACTGCCCATGTCTAGGGATATCCGACTCACTATATCACCAAATATCACGAACTAACGCTTCAATCCACTAGGCTGTAGAAATTGGAGCTTTAAACCTAACCTGCCTGCTGATTAGTGTTGCAACTGCTACTTCTACTGCAGTCATGTTTTGACTGCTGCTGCTGTCGTAGACTTGCTGTTAGTTATCTTTCTTTTTTATTAGCAACAGTTATATTGTATTTACATATATGCTAGGCCAACTAATGGGATCCTCACATCCTAGAATATACTCTGATTAATTCAAATGTCTAACTGTCCAATTTTCTTTCTTGTCCAGTATTTTCACTTCATTGCGCAGGGCCGAAGTCTACACCTTGCCCTCCATACATGATCAGCTATACCCGATTTCATTGTCTCATCTCTCACTGCGTCGTCACAATTTTCCTCCAGCCTTACAATTCGGGGAGGCTTGTTTCACCATTTTATTCCCGAAGAAGATATAATGGCCGAAAAGTAGTGATAACAACAAGACAACTGTCAGAAAAGTTGTAAAGTAAAAAGGGATACGGAATGAGGAATAACCAAAATGGAGATTGGAAATGAAATGGTAATCTTTATAACATCAACAAATTACAATACTCGCCAGCGACGTGAAGTAGGTAAACCACTGCTAATGGTGGACTACTTAGACAGCATATTACCCCCCACTTAAACCCGTTAGAGTTCATAGGTACGGTATATGATAGATAGCTTACGGTCAAATCACGCTGAAACACCGGTTCTCGTACGATCACCGAAGTTAAGCAGCGTAGAGCCAGGTCAGTACTTAGATGGGGGACCGCTTGGGAACACCTGGTACTGTAAGCCCCCAAAATCCAACCCTTACCTCACAGTCGGTGGGGGGGTGTAAACGGTAGTGTCAGAGCTATGCCGCCCGGAACTTCGTTCCTGGTAGGGCCACCCAAGGCGGACAGGTCTGACACACACGCCGGCTAACAAGGGCTCTAGTGAAAATCCAAGGAGCGTCTGCATCGGTAACCGGCGGCTTCTGGTCGTTCCTGTCTCTGCGTCTGTGGGAACTCCGCGGCAAGCAAGAACGTTATCCGAGTAGGCCTGGGTACCCTACTTCTGTAATTTATCCCAAGAATCTTCTCATAACAGGAAGAAGCCGGCTCAATCCGCCCAGGGTGAATGCCGCATCAGTACAGTACAGTATATGATAGATAGATAGATAGATAGATAGATAGATAGATAGATAGATAGATAGTGTTGTAACCTAGAAAAGGTTACTGGTTGGAAATGAAATGGTAATCTTTATAACATCAACAAAATACAATACTCGCCAATACTGTTCAAAAAACCGGGAAGGAGAGTGAACCGGACGATTGGTGACCTATCTACTCCTATTGAGGAAAAAAGAGTTTATTAGAACTGAGATAGATAGATAGATAGATAGATAGATAGATAGATAGATAGCGTTAAATTAGACTTTAGAAGGAACCGGAAATCCTATCCTAAAGAGGAAACAAGGGATAAATCTCTATTCCTTTTCAAAAGACCAGGAAGTAGAGTGAACTGGGTGATAGGCGAACCTATCTATTAGTAAATAAAATTACAGTGTTTCGACGGAGACATTAGACGTATTCAGTTGAAGCAGGAACTGGAAACCCTAAACAAGAAAAAATGGATAAACCTGTATTCCTCATCAAATATATAATATAATATTTCTTGTTTGTTTATCAAATTTTGATTAGGTATAAATCCACCTATGGTTCCTCCAGCTATGGGTTAATTAGTTACACTTGTATCATTGAATCAGTATTATAGGCCCTCTCCTCAACAAAAAAAATCTTAATATCTAAAAATATTTTCTGGCTTTAAATAACTTTCAAAGGGTTGATAAACCGTAAAAACAAGAAAAATAGATGTACAAACAAATAGTAATGCATTAACAACAAAAGCAAATAATATGTGGGAAAAATGATAAACACGTGTGTCTCCTGAAATGTCCACAACAAGCAAGGCAGATTCGAAACTTTTAACTCCTATCATGCAGCACAGCATTCTAAATATCACATTCCTACAAAAAATATTAAAAATTTAAAGAAAGTATTAAGTTGTTTCAGCTTAAAAATCTACCTGGAAAGGATTTAATTCGGATTTTTATTATTTTCCATCTTTTTTACCAATTTCTTTTTCTTTCTTTTTTTTTTCTTTTTTTTTGTTTTGTTTTTCATAAAGATCACAGAGTCTGTACAAGATATGCATTCCTGCGAATGAAATCGACCCCATCGATTGCTGATTAGCGATTGGGTGAATTGACTCGCTCGGAAATATACTGTTTTGGAGAATTCTTGCTGGGAATAGGCAGCCGACATCATCCCAGGCTAAGCACTTTGTAGAAGCTGAATTTGTCAGATAAAGCAGCACATAAAAGCAGGTGATTTCCACCCGCTCACCCGTTTCATCAAACTACGAAACAGATATTTACTGAATTATTTTGCTTCAGTGATAGAAACGTGTTGATATTTTAACTGCATTTTTACTTCTTCTCTCCACACAATTTAAAAAAAAAGATTTGAACTTTGACACGAATGCAATCGACCACACATAACATACAACTGTACATCGTTAGAATTAAACAGAGCGTATATAACGGAATGATTCTACACTCTTTAAGTAAATAAATTTAATATAACTATATAACAACACGTATATTTCTATCACGATGACAACATTCCTTTCAATAGTCTGTTATTTGTTCCTTTCTTTCTTTATTCGACTGAAGGTGAAGAATGTCTCACAGAGTCCACAATACCGTTAAGTGGGAAATTCATAATGTTTTCAATGGTATGCGCCTCACTAAGGCTACAAGAGGCTTTTGAATTTAGATTTTCCCGTCTCCAAGAGCGGTTAGCTATCGACGTCTAGACAGACCAGTCTGTACTGCTATTTAACCTATAGGAGGGAGAAAAAATGGATTTCTACTTTTCCAACTGCATATTTGGGATAGATAGATAGATAGATAGATAGATAGATGTAAAAAGACCATGGCAGATAGATAGATAGATAGATAGATAGATAGATAGATATCAACAGAATGAGATAGATAGATAGATAGATAGATGTAAAAAGACCGTGGCAGATAGACAGACAGACAGATAGATAGATAGATACATACATACATACATACATATCAACGAGTGGCTTTATTGCCTTGCTTGGGATGAAACGACTAAAACATATGTGCATACATATGCACACTCGTGTTCTAATGACTTCATAACTGCCTTTAGAGAGACATAGATAGATAGATAGATAGATAGATAGATAGATAGATAGATATAAAGAAACAGACTGACATAGATAGATAGATAGATAGATAGATAGATAGATAGATAGATAGATAGATAGATAGATAGATAGATAGAAACAGGATAAGATAGATAGATAGAAAGAAAGAGACAGGATGAAATAGATAGATAGATAGATAGATAGATAGATAGATAGATAGATAGATGTAAAAAGACCATGGCAGCTAGCTAGCTAGATAGATAGATAGATACATACATACATACATACATACATATCAACGGATTGAGATAGATAGATAGATAGATAGATAGATAGATAGATAGATAGATAGATAGATAGATAGATAGATATCAACGGATTGAGATAGATAGATAGATAGATAGATAGATATCAACAGAATGAGATAGATAGATGTAAAAAGACCATGGCAGATAGATAGATAGATATGAACAAAATGATATAGGCAATAGCTCATAAATAATTGACTATTCCGTTTTGATTGCGAAGGAAGACGGGAAAGACATATCAAGGACGCTATTTTGTTTCAGTGCCAAAATGAAAGAAAGAAGGAAAGATAAGAGAGGTGATAACACTCTCATGTTTAACGTCTGTTTCAGTGAAATATAAACCGTACCCTCTTACTTCTTTAAGTAACGACAAATATTCCTATAGTTAGCGAAACGACAAAAAGCTTGATAGCACTCACGCTGAGGTCATTAACTTTCGCTGGATATGAAACTTATCCCAGTCCAAAAAACACGATTCAATATCAGAAACTGGGGAAGATTACAAGAGGTGTCAAGAACTTTATTGTGCACCCACATGTCAACTAAAAATCTTTATCATTACTTCATATGGCATATATATATATATATATATATAAGTGTGTGTGTGTTCGCGCGCCTGTGTGACTGTGTGTACGTGCACATATGAGGAAAAATAGGAAATAACACGTTAGGTAAATAATCCGGAGTAGAAGTAGTTTAATTTAATTTAATGTATATATATATATACATACACACATTATGAAATGAACGCAGTTCGACAATTATTTTTAAGGCATTTTTTATGTTTATAATACGTTCTTTTTATAGATAAAATATCTAAGTAAATGCTCTGTTTATATTAAACAGTATTAACAACCTTCATAGAAAATATGCGTTCTTCGACAGGAATCGAACCTGTATCCTATACAGAACCGTCATAAGAGCCTGACGTGCCTTAAACGATTGGACCACAGAGGAGCGTACGGTCAGCGAGGTCGATTTTACTGTTTTATATGCATGTACAGGGTGTATCAAAATAATTTTGGGACGGATTCCTCACACTAAAACAAAGACTAAAGTCTATATAATCCATGTTCGCAACTCTTTCGTTGTTTTTGAGTTATTATATATATATATATATATATATATATATATATATATATATATATATTAGGGACCTCTGATTCGGAAATTACTTTCGTCTGAAACGCATCAAAGAGGCTATATGCAAAACAGAATGACAAATGTTTTTAGTAGCTAGGGAATTTGTATATTCTTCTTCTTCTACTTCTTCTTCTTTGTCAGTTATCCCTTCAGGACGTCGGCGATAATGGCCCTCCACAGTTTCCTTCCTTTTGTACCTATTAGTAAATGTTGTCTTTCTGTTATCTTTCCTAAACCCTATTCTCACATCCATTTGCTCGAGCTCTTTAGGTAGGTTATCCCCCCCACCTTTTCCCTCTGTCTCTCTTGCTTTCAATCTGCCCTGTGAGCATCAACTTTTCCAAGCCTTCTTTCCTCATTATGAGATCTTGTGAAATTTCAACCGTCTCTTTCTGATGTTAATTATACTTTTTGTTTCGATTTTCTCAAAAACATCGTATTCTCAGCATCCTTCTGTAGAATCACATTTCAATCGTTTCTTCTCAAATGAGATGGTTCAGTATTCACTGCCATATAGAAAGACTGATATTACATGATAGTTCAGTACTCGCTTCTTTGTATCTAACGAAATTTTCTTGTTTCTTGTTACATTGCTTAGCTTTTGGAAGGCATCTTTCTCTATCGGAATGCGACTTCGGATTTTGGCGTCGCAATTTACTCTGTTAAAACACTTCCTAAATATTTTTATGTTTTTATTTGCTTGGTTTTCATATCCCCAGTTTCATAATTTGAATGTCGGGCTGTTCTTTTAGCAAACAAGCATACAATGTCTTCCTGCTATCGATGTTTAGTCATTTCTTCACGCTTTACTTTTCTACCTTCTGTAGGAGTTTTTTTTTATCGTTTACTTTCTATGTCTGCTATCAACAGGGCGTCATTTGCATATCATATGCTGTTCAAAATTATTGATTCTGGGGCTATAACATCGTCCATCGCAACAGCTAGGAATTGCAGGCTGTCTCTCTCTCTCTCTCTCTCTCTCTCTCTCTCTCTCTCTCTCTCTCTACCGTATATTTATCTATCTTTCTATCTATCTGCACATGGTAATCCCTTCTTTCTCTATCTATCTATCTATCGATCGATCGATCGATCTATCTATCTGTGTCTTTCGTATCTATCTATCTATCTATCTATCTGTGTGTGTTCATATCAATCTATCTATCTATCTATCTGCACATTGTCATCCCTTCTTTATCTATCTATCTATCTATCTATCTATCTATCTATCTACCAATCTATCTATGTATATATCTATCCTAGTATGTGCATTATCTGTCCATTTCAGTCTGTACACATCTATCTATCTATCTATCTATTCTACTCAGCTGACATCTATCTATTCATCTATTTCTCTATCTCAGTCTGTTGATATCTACCTGTCTATCTATCCACCGATCTCAGTCTGTTCACATCTCTATCTGTCCTGTTCTATTCTATTGATATCTATCTCTGTTGATATCTATCTATCTATCTATCTATCTATCTATCTATCTATCTATCTATTTATCTATCTATCTCAGTTTGTACACATCTATCTATCAATCTTGGTCTCTAGACATATCTATCTATCTGTCTATCTATCTATCTAACTAACTAACTAACTCCCTCATACGCATATTTAACCTCGTTCTAAGATCCTGGATCGATCAACGCTCGTTTAAGCAGCCTCGATTTTCTTCACTCAAATTAACCAGTCGACCTCCACCATCTTTGCGACACTTTTTCGTTCACCAAAAATCACTGACGTCTTCTTTTCCTCCCTCTTTCCTCAAATTACTACATCGCTTTCAAGAAGTAACGTTTTTAAACTTCCTTTTTCCACTTCTCGTTTTGTCATCTGCAATTGTCTCCTTTCCCCTCTGTTCTTCTTCCTTTTCATCAACTTTGATATCTCTGTCACCTTCTCTAATTCGACCTCCGCCATCTTGTCGGTTCAAATTAAGCTTCATTTGCTATTTCCGCTTCCGGTGTTATTTCTATTTTAGCTTTTATTTATTTTTCCCTCTCCCCCTCCCCTAATTTCTTCATTTGTCTTTCAATCTTTTCTTTTCGTTCTTTTACCCATAATTCCCCATTTTGCAGAATGCTTCTTTAAATCGGGTATTTTTATATTAACTTTCATTGCTTTTCTTAAAGTGCATTCTTTGGGGCTTTCAACTCTGTTTGCTTTTTGGGGTTAAAACATACGTGTCAGCAATTACAATAAGATTTTGTAAGTTTAGAAACTTATGCATTGCTCTAAACGTTTTTTCTTTCTTTTCTTTTTTAACACTGTTAATTATATCAGTTTTCCTGTGCATGAGAGAGAATTAATAAAACAAACTCCTCAACGGGGTTCGAACCTGCCTCCCCACTTGAAGGTCAAGCCGCTCATTAATCCGACGTTAGAACTCTGCCTGGGAGTCCATTTTCTTTCTTAAGCCTCTCGAGTGCTCAAGCTGGTAGATGTAATTCACATTGTTTAAAAATAGATAAAATCCAGGCGTTTACTCTAACGCGTGTATCCTTAAAAATAAGGTTTATAGTATAAGTAATTTAGGATTAAAGATAAAATACATTAATTCCTTTAACAAAACTTATACATTTATTTTTATTTTTATTTTAGACACTAGCGGCTCTAATATAAAGGTACCTCCAAAGATTCTCTAAAGATAAGCCTACATGATTAAAAAAATGTCCCAAATGTAATAAAACCAAAATTTTATTTTCAGAATTTTTATATTCTTATTAAAAGGAAATATCAAAGGATTTTTATTATCTCTCTCTATAAAAGGCAGGATGTGTGTGTGTGTGTGTGTGCACGCGTGTGTGTGTGTGTGTGTGTGTGTGTGTGTGTGTGTAACGAATGCACGGCCGCAATTTTCGACGGATTTGCACCAAAATTTACATGCACATGCTCCAAGTTAGCGGAAAGGCCAAGACCGACCTTCCCAACTCTCATCGATAGTGGAAATAATCGATTTTTTCATGTTTCTACGGCACTTTTCTTGTAGTTTGCGGCCATTTTCTACTGGCCAGAGTGAGAGCCTATAGCTGGCTGCCATGAATGGGCAGGAAGATTCTATTGGCCAGCGTGAGAGCCAACAGCTGAATGACACGAATGTTAACTAGCATGCTAGCATGCAAAAAAATCGATAGCTGCATTCGTCACTGCATTTAAATCTGCATGGCACTTTACTCTAATTGGCTCATTCGCTTGCTTAAACTCAACGTTGATTCCGATTCCGCAGAACTGGGTTGGGTGTGAAAAAGTATTTGTTGTTAACATTCTTTTTTCATTCGGTTTTTCCACTTACGAGTCCTTTTTTAAAGCTGATCGTTTTGTGTTCATTTTTTTTAATTCTTTTTTCGTAACAGATTTAATGTTTAGTATAGAGCTTAGAAAAAATTCGCAGTGTGAGATAGGCAAGAAGTAAGGCATGTAGCAACATCAGCACGGCAAAGGGCACTCCTTTAAAGGCAAGGAAGGGCAAAAATATTTTAAGTCAAGTGATAGCGATTGCTGTATGAGTCGTACGATTTTTGAATCAAGCACGGGCAACGCCGGGCCATGCTGCTAGTTAAACCATATTTTTCAATCTTTTTTAGAACCTTCAAGTCTTTGGTTAAAATAATTTTCTTGCGTCAACAGATAAACTTAGTATTTTTTTTACATCTTTTACCCCAACTTAATTTTACGAAACTTTCAGAAATTCATTTTTGTATGCCTTAATGTTTATATTAATTATAAGAACCAGTCTTTGAAGAATTTAAATCCTCAATTTTTTTTTGTTGACCTGCAAACCTCCAGTTACAAAAAGCCTGCTCTGAACTGTAAAATAAATAAAAATTAAGACATTATTTAACTATAAAAAAAAACTTTAAATTGCTTTTAAGATATATTTTTCGATGTATACTGAATTTTTACAAGAATTGTTTGCATTTTATTTCAATTTAAATTACACTAAATTATAAATTTTTAAATGCGTTAAAATTCTGTATTAATTTGTAGAGGTAAGGTAATATTATTATTAAGTAAAAACTATATTGACTAATCATAAATGAAAAAGCTTACTACAATTCAGCGACGCCCAGTATTTTAAAAAGAATTTTGTGTATGCATAAACGTGACGATTTTTATAAATATGAAGGCCTATACAGGATATTGTCAGTGTTGTGACCAAGTAAATGGTTAAGTAATAACAAAAACCAGTTTTGCAGATATATCGTATATTAAACAGTAAGTACACCAGAAGAGTAGGACACGACGAGTGAGATTGTATCGTATGAACCAGTGCTCCATCCATTCACAGGCCACCAAGACCTTCTCTCCTACTAATTTTATAGTAGTCGGAAGAGTCCAAAATAGAGTCTTTACAGGGAGGACATTACGAGTCAAAAATAAGAGCGATAACTATAATAAACTTCTGCGAGGAAAATATCTATAAAATATCGTATAATCTACCTAGAGAGCATTAGTAGATGGATGGAGGAACACGTTCTAGGAAAGGATACAAAAACCAGCATTTACTATGAGCTGAAAAGGACAGGAAATTCTGGAGAGCTCTGATCGCCAATGTAGAAGAAGACATTTTTGGATAAAAGTGCTCAGTAACAGGGACAGAGCGTGTGTAAACAAAATGAAGACAAGGGAGATAACCAAAGACGCATTCCTAAAGATAAGCAGAACAAAGAAATAGAAAAAAAATTGCTAGAAACAAGGAAAAGCTTACTAAACTGCTATATGATATATGTCCTTCAGTATTGCAGTGAGTACTGGACGATCTCCTCAAAGATGAATCCAGTCAGCCTTACGATTTTATGAGACCCGTAAGATATATATATCAGTTTAGTACTTTTATATATATATATATATATATATATATATATATATATATATATATATATATATATCAGTTTAGTACTCTTTTCCTTGTTTCTAGCGAAATTTTCCTAATACTCTTTTTAGTTTTATAAATGCAGTTTAGTACACCCATGCTCAGCAGAGGTAGGAAAAGAGAGACACTGAAATGCAAAGGAGTATTGGGATAGACAATAAAGAGTACTAGACTGCTACATATATATATATATATATATATATATATATATATATATATATATATATATATATTATTGATTTAAAATATGTTTGCGAAAAAAAAAAACATTTTAAATCAATTAATTTATAATATTAATGCTCTGTAAATTTACATTGATCACTATTTTGTAAAAATAAAATATCTATAAGAACACCGGATTATATATCTTACTGTTCTTTTTTTTTTCATTCATATATATATATATATATATATATGTGTGTGTGTGTGTGTGTGTGTGTGTGTGTGTGTGTGTGTGTGTGTGTGTGTGTGTGTGTGTGTGTCCTCCTGGTATTACTGGGAGTGCTGAACGATCTCTTCAAATATGAATCCAGTCAGCCTTACGATTTTTTCAGACCCGTAAGAGTAGAAGAAACATAATTTTTAAAATATCCATTAATCGATTTTGAAAAATAAAGTTTGTTGTACTCTTGCGGGCCGGATGAGGTCTACGGTCTCTACATCCATGCTGAACAGAAAATGTCGCTTGAGGATGAAACAGGGTTTTTTAATTTAATTCAATGTAATTTTAATAATTATATTGATGGTTTCGGCTCTCGTTTTTGAAACATGTGAACTCTTATGTAGTGAAGGAATCATATTTTTAAAAAATAATTATAATATATATATATATATATATATATATATATATATATATATGTATGTGTGTGTGTGTGTGTGTGTGTGTTCTGTATTGTAGTGAGTACTGGAAGAGCTCCTTAAAAATGAAGGGGAGACTTGAAGCAAGAGAAATGTGGTTCTACAGTAAGATGCTGAGGATACCATGGACCGAACATGTGAGTAAAGACGATGTTTTAAAGAAAATCGAAACAAATAGGAAACTAATACTTATCATCAAGAAGAGACAGTTGTGGTTTTTGGGGAACATAATGAGGAAAGAGGGCTTGGAAAATCTGATACTCACAGGACAGATAGAGGGCAAGAGAGACAGAGTAAAACAACGCATAACCCACCTAAAGAGCTTGAGGAAACGGATGGCGGAACAAGGTTTAGCCGGGATAACAAAAAGACAACATTTTGTAAGATCAACAAAGGACATGAAATTGTGGAGAGCGATGATCGTCAACGTAATTAACATAGAAGAAGAAGAAGAAGACAAAGAAGTAGAAGAAGACGACGACGAAGAAGAAGAAGAAGACAAAAAAGAAGACGAAGAAAAAGTAGAAGAAGACAAAGAAGAGGAAGACAAAGAAGAAGAAGACAAAGAAGACGAAGACAAAGAAGAAGACGACGACGAAGAAGAAGAAGAACAAGAACAATACGAAGAAGAAGAAGAGAAAGACGACGACGAAGAAGAACATGAACATGAAGAAGACGAAGACAAAGAAGACGAAGACAAAGAAGAAGAAGACGAAGAAAAAGTAGAAGACGAAGACGAAGAAGAAGAAGAAGAAGAAGAAGACAAAGAAGAAGAAGAAGAAGACAAAGAAGAAGAAGAAAAAAGACAGTGGAGATCATACGTGGAATTAGAGATCAGACCTTCTTGACCACTG